ACTGAGTATATCTGAGAATGCAGTTTTCATGCAGCATAAATTATACTTGCTACCGTACAATGGTTTACTTGTTAAAAGTCATCCTTGGAAATTGGTGTATTTTTCAAAGTTAAAGACAATTATGAACCATTCACATTTCCTAAAAGACTCCTAATTGCCAATGAAGTGAAGAAGAAAATAAAATTAACCAGAAAGGAGATTGAGTTTTAACAACTAATTATAAAGTAGTGTCAATGAGGTAGGCAGATTAATGTTTCTTACCTTTGTGCCAACAAAATTCTGTGGGATGCATGGTACCAATAATAAATTAAAGATTAATATTGGTCTTGGCATTGTGAGAAAGTAATTGCATAACATGTTCCTTTTTTCCTAAAGGAAATTAACAGGAGTAGAAAGAAGGGCAATATGTAGCACTAAATTGTGCCTTCTGGGAGAAAGAATGTAGACTTTGGGGTATATGCAGGTTCAGTTTCCCATGTAGAATGTGCAGAGAACAGGTTTAATGTTTAATGTTTATCATAGAAATACATGAGTTAGTCACGCACAGTGACTGAAGTCTATACTCTCAGAACTTTTGTGCCGACACAGGAGGATTATTGTGAGTTTGATGTCACTCTGGGTAAACGGTGAATTCTAAGTCAGCAGAGGATGTGTAGGGAAATCGTGTTTCAAAAAATCAAAACAAAATAATGAGAATAAGTAGGAACAAGGTTTTTTTTAAAATAATTCATGAGAAAGAAAACAAAATAATAATTGTAGGAAAATGGAAATTTTTTTTTTTTTTTTTTTTTTTTTTTTTTTGGTTTTTCGAGACGGGGTTTCTCTGTGTAGTTTTGCGCCTTTCCTGGGACTCACTTGGTAGCCCAGGCTGGCCTCGAACTCACAGAGATCCGCCTGGCTCTGCCTCCCGAGTGCTGGGATTAAAGGCGTGCGCCACCACCGCCCGGCGAAAATGGAAATTTAATAAATAGTTGGAAAATGAAAGAAAATGATAAGAAAATGTTTATCTCTGCAAAATCTTTAAACTGAAAATATGATTTCATCCCCCATCCCCTGCACTCTATTTCTCCTCTCACCCCCAGTTTACTTATGGAGATCTCATCTATTTCACCTCCCCAGGGCGATCCATGCATCCCTCTTAGGGTCCTCCTTGCTTCCTAGATTCTCTGGAGCTGTGGGTTGTAGTCTGGTTATCCTTTACATCTAGTATCCACTTTCTCCCTTCAATACCTCACTTCCTACCCTCATTCCAAAATATGAGTTTTCATTATCTGACCACACACAGCTACCCACTTTAACTGCTAATTCTGCTTCAGACACTTTTGATAAAAATCTCATTTTTCATATTTGACCAAAATTTTATTCTTTCTTTGGTATTTTAACCAATTATATTCATCGCTGTTATTGTGAAGTAATATAGAATATAGACACTTACTGATAGTTACAAATTACAAGGTTTCCTAAGTCAGATTTTAGATTTTCTCACCTCAGAATTAATGTAATTCTAAAATTATAAATCATTTCAGATGGAAATTTAAACATGGTTGTATAAACAATTTATGAGTTGGAATGATAGTTATGAAGATGACATTTGCTCTTAATATGATCTATAGATATAATTCCCTGTCAAAATTGTAGCAGGCAGGATTATTAAAATTATCAGGCTGATTGTATAAATTATAAGACCTTGCAGTGGGCTTGGAAGAGTCAATTTGGTATTATAATGGAATGACAAAACTTTAGGATTTTAACTTCCTATTTTCTATTTTCAGGACTTATGTGAAGATACAAGTATTAAGATAATTTGGTACTTCCCTAGGGATGAGCACACCAAGTGGTTACCTAATACCAAATGGTAAGCTCTGAAGGTTTACATACAAATAGCATTACAGACTAAGCAGATTGTATTTATGTATGTAGGAATATATATGCAGTTTTGAAAGAGAGCAAGGAGGGATATATAGGAGAGTTTGAAGAAAGAAGATGTAATTATAAATATATTATAATCTCAAAAATAATAAGTATTAATCATAGTTACAGTTATATGAAGTAAAAAATGATAGTATGGAAGTACATAATGATAGACACATAGGATCTGAAGCAATATGGAAAACAGAAAAATAAACTCACACTTCTGATCAATTAGTTTTTGATACAGGGGATAAATATTTGATTATAAAGGGTAGTCATTGCATTAAAACATGACAGCTAGGATAACCAAATAATGAATTAAAGCAAAAGGCTCATCATCAGGGATTGCAAGTCTAAATGTTGGAGTACAAGGGAACAAAGTAATTCTTGTGTTTTTTAGAGTAATCATTTAAATTCAGTTCTCTTTTCTGTCAGTTTATATATCCAATAAAAGAAATCAAAGTGGAGCTTGACTTTCCGTCTGCATCCATAATGAGGTTGAAAGTATTTTCATATTGCTAGATTAATAGCTGTCACACTTTAACACATCTCAGGATGTTGATGTTCTGAGTTTAGTCATTTATACTCAAGAATAGTTCCCATGGGTTCAGAAGTCCTTCAACACTCATTTGGCTAATTGGAAATAGTCAGAAGTGTGGCATTCTCAGACATGAACTTATGGAAAGGAGTCCTCAAATCCTCAGTGCTTACAATAAATGGTACCCAGGCTCTGTGTTTGGGTAATCAGCTTACACTCAATGCAGACAATCCTAAATACATGTGGTCTGTGGAAGATAATTTAAACACCATTGGTTTAGGAAAGGTACAGCCCCTATGGTATATTATCCAGTAACAAATTATCTATTTCTCCTATTGTTCTAGTTATATATTAAAATGGTAATTTCTTTATCAGCTCCTGTAGTAGTGCTGGCACATTTTATATGAACTTAATGGGTGCAGGACATCTAATGATGGGTGCAGGACATCTATTTCCAGAAATTGACATTTATTATATGCTAATTTAATATATGCATTCATACATGGATGAACATGCATACATGTACATAGCTGTATGCATGTGATTAAGGCCTGTGAGGTTCCAATAAGGTTATATTGATCTTAATAATGACAGAGCTTCCTAGATGACAGTCATCAGGCCCATCAAAAGCTTTACAAAATCCCTTAGCTTTATTCATTTACAACACCCCAAATAGTTGTTCAAACTGTGAATAATGTCTCCAGATAATTTTGTGATTATTTCTATTTGAAAACCACTGTTAGTAAAATTTATCTGCAACACAGAATCATCTTTAGTATTTGAAATAAACACATCAGTTGTGCAGATCCCACCCACGGGGATGTTGAGTTAACTTGTGTGAAAAGTACTGTGCAGCCATATTTTGAAGTGTTCTCTAGGTGATATACTCTGAAGCCACAGATTAGAACTCCTGATTTAAAACTTGAAAATTGATATCCATACAGTGCCACTAATTCCTCATTCTTACACCCAAGTACTTTATCTAGTTTCCATTTTCTCTGGATCTGAAGCTCTGATTGAGCACGCTCTACACTAAGAATTATAGCTTCTGGAAGGTTGAAATACCAAACACTAGGGTCTACTGAAGTAAGTCTAGAGACAATGTTCTCATTAGTGCCACTAAAGACAGTGCCAGGGAAGGACATGCTTACAGGAATTGTCAAAGGGAGTTAAGTTTATGAAGGAGAACACCAGTAGTGGGAGAGGAGGGAGATAATAGTAACACACACAGACACAGGCACACAACACACACACACACAATTTTGACAGGCCCATTTCTGAAAAGGTAAGTCAAAACGATGCTTAGAACATCAATGAACAAGGCAGAGCTTTTCAACTTGTCATATAAAAAGGTAAATATCCTCCTATAAACTGACACTTGTTTTGTTCTTCAGCTTACAAACATTTGAAAACCTTGTATACTTCAATCTAAATTCTCCGATGAAGGAATGCAAGTCCTTACTTTGTGGTTCCTGGTTAACCTATGGGTGAATATCTCACTACTATTCTGTATCCATAGTGCTCTGGTATATTTTCTGTTTGTGAAAATTTGCTCCCATGGTCAAAGATCTATCCATACTTCAGACCACTGCAAAGGCATTCCTTCCTACCTATAGCCTTCTGGACTCTCTATGGAAGTCAATTGTAGAGGGTTGATTTGTGCTCCTGATTAATTTTGTATCCTAAATTATATGGTTTAGATATATGGTCCTACACACAAAGATTCAGTGCCAAACATACTGACAAATTAGTTTTTTTCAAAATGCATGTTGGGAGCTAGCAGAAGAAAAATATAAGTGCCAATTTATTTGTTTTTCCTTTTTCCTTATTTCCTCAGATATTAGCTAATTTTCTTCAGCTATGGGTAGTCTTGGTATATAACTTCTCTTTGGACTAGAGCCTGTATCTCAGTCTGGTTAACAGAAATGTTATTTGTTAGATCTGTCATAACAGATCTAAAACCTTTGTTCTAACAGAATTCAAGTGTTGATGTTTTATTTTTTTGTTGCACTTATTAAGAGAGACCCTACCCCGACAGTTCCGGTTCCTAACTCTTTATCATATGAAGGTGGAGGATCTCTGTCTGGCATGTTGTTCTGTAAGGGCACATGCATGTTTCTTAGGGGGTGAATACTATAGAATCTTTTATGTTTGTTTCCTTGTTCTGCTTTAACCCTTTAATTGCTGTCTGTCTTGTTGTTGTAGGAATGATGTGGTGGCGGTGCTGAGCCATGGGTTGCATAGCAGAATCTGGCTATTTATTCTAGAAGAACATCTGCCTGGTGCTGTCTAAGCAACATCTATGTCATCACATGGAAAGTTATAGCGCTTAGAAAGAAGTCATCCCCCACCCGAGAACATTTCGTGATGGCACGAGCTACCATTGCCAAATGTTGTGTCTTTCTTTCCAAACCACTTTAGGTTATTCTTACATCTTGAGGACCACACACAGAGGTTCTCTTTGTCTCTTCCTTTGTTGACTGAACTTGGGAGCTTTCATGGTTTCCCGGAGAACTTTTTTGTGGCTGGAGAGAGATACAGAGAAAAAAGACAAATACACACCATTAAAATAAGAGAAATAGGTTTTACACACAGGCATGGCTTTTTGTGGTTATATGACATAAAACACCATGTCAGCTTCGCACTCTAAAAAAGGAAATAGGCTTTATTATATAATTCATCTTTGAAATGGGCTTTGCAATTTTTATCTTTGAAATTAAGAACAATAATTTATGTTAAATTTTTGCATTAGTGAAGCCTAATGGAATTTTTTTCCCCATTGGATATGCTCATTTCTCAAATAATAAGCTTTTATTTAAAGATCTTCATTTCTCAAAAGATAGGAATCTTGCCCTTCTTCTTTGTATTAATCCCCAGTTTGTCTGAGATATAATAAATACATGCTTCATTTTCTCAACTAGACAGAAAATATCTTGTGACATTACAGAAGATACCTAGAGGGTTATGTGCATTCTGTTCCTATAAAGAACAAGCTGTTTACCTCTGAGAGCTGAAATATCATTATAACATTCATCTCAATAGGAACACGAGGAAAGCAAAAAGTACCCTGACTGAAAGAAATGTACAAGTAACATGAAACTTACTATGGGAAGGTTTATGGTTGTCCACTGGGAAGTGCAGGCATGTGCTTTTTTTTTTTTTTTTTTTTTGCACATATCATTTAAATATTATGCTGCCCTCTTCAGTCTGGTATAGAAGTTGGCAGGAGGGATAAATAAAAGTTCATGAATGTTGTTTCCTGAGTTTGAAGCTTTGGTTGCAATGGGCTACAGAGGAAAAATGTTTGAAGAGTTTAACTACTGGGTTCCAAGAAGCCCAAAAATAGGACAGAATCTGGGCAGAGTATAAGAAACCCAGGCAGGATCTTTAGTTATTCTATGTGGTTTTCACATAGATTTCCACAGGTAACTGTACTCCTTAATAAGAAAGCATTCTCACAAAAATAGTGTTCTCAAAAATTATTGAAAAAATCCTTATTAAACATGGTAAAATATTTATTACAAGTGAGACTAATAAAGCTTATAGACTATTAGCAAACCCATAGAATAGCACTCTAGTTCATTTAACAGTTCCCATATTAATTCAACAAGATGATGGGCTTGGGTTGAAAACAGTAATTAAGTAATTTCTCTTGACATGTAAGTCTACCTTCATTGACATCTAGAAGGAATTGAGAGTTATATTTTTCTTCTGCCCTTGCCTTGTTTAAAAGACATAAATACACCCTCCCTTTGGTACTTTCTTTTTTATGGAGGTATGTATTTAAATATTCTCTTTTTGAGAATTTCATACAATATACTTCAATCTCACTCTTTCTCTTTCCCAACTCCTCACAGATTCCCTGCCCCCACCTACCTAAACATCCAACATTGTGTTCTTTCTTTTCTATAGAAACCTTCTCCTCACCCAAGATCCCCCATTTGTACTTTCTAAGGAACAGAAAAGATAAAGTGTATGACTGACACCCCTATGCTCGTTTCAGCAGCAATATACTAAAATTTGAATAATACAGAGAAGATTAGCATGGCCTCTACACAAGGATGACACACAAAGTCATGAAGCATTTCATATTTTTTAAAACCTCTCTTTCAGCATCATTGGTAATGAATTAAAAGAAGTGTTTGAAGGTGCCATGGAGATTAGATTTGTCCGCCGGCGGGGGGTGGGGGGAAGAGTGAGGGGATTGCTTGTATTGAATTTAAGACAGAAGCTGATGCAGGGAAAATCTATGAAGAAAAGTAGAGGGCAGACATTGGTGACCAATATGTTTTGTTTCACTTTACTACACCAGAGAGAAAGGACAAAGGCAAGAGAGAGCTGGACAGAGTAGCTCTCTTGGAGTGGTGAATCAAAATCTTTGGTTTTATGTAACCTTTCCTGTGGTGCAACAGAAGAAAATCTTCAGGAAGTATTTGAGTAAGCAATTTTTTATCAAAGTGCCCACAACCCAAATGGCAAATTTAAAGGGCATGTATTTATAGAATTCACTTCATTTGAAGATGCTAAGGAATCTATAAACTCCTGGAATAAAATGGAAACCAAGGGCAGAACCATCAGGCTGGAGTCACAAGGAACCAGGCTATTGTGTATTATAAGAAGTCAGCCATCCAAACCTCTGTTTGTCAAAGGTCTGTCAGAGGGTACTATTGAAGAGACCCTCAAAGAATCATTTAAGAATTCTGTTTAAGCAAGAATAGTCACTGATCAGGAAACTGGTTCCTCCAAAGAGTTTGGCTTTGTACAGTTCAATAGCAAGGAAGATGCCAAAGCTGCCAAGGAGGCCATGGAAGATGAAGAAACTGACGGAAACTGATATAGATATAATAAGATTAAAAGGTAGATTAATGAACCTACTTTTAAGAGCAACTTGTTTAAAAATGGTTTACATTGATATAGATTTTAGTTTATTGATACAAATTTAAAGTTAATTTTGTTATACTATATATATATATATATATATATATATATATATATATATACTCTTTTTAAGGTATTATGTTTATATAACTCATTTAAATTGTAATGGATAATTATAATTAGTCTTCTATGATAAACTTATAGTCATGTTAGTTTAGTCTTTTAGGTATACATAGATATATTTCAGATAGATAGGTAATCTTCAAATACTTTAAAGACCTACAAAATATGACATTTAAAATGTTTTAAAAATTTAGACTTTCTAGATAGTGAGACATGTCTGCTCTTGGCAGCACCGATTTACTTAAGAGAGGAGGATGGGCATCAAAGACACTCTATATGGAGTTTATCTTCACCTTGACAAAAATAACCATTTGGACAAAAATCTGTTCTTGCCTGGACTGCTTAAAAAAATGTATCAACTAGACATACAAAACCCATAAAAAGCTGACCACTAAACTTTGCTTGGCGAAATGGTCTTTCAGGTTCCTGCTTTGCAGAGGAAACTGACATACATTCTACAGGACACAGAGAGAAATAACTAAGAGACTCCAGGCCTGTGGGCTAAAGACAGATGCCCCAACTGTACAAAAAAAAAATTAGGTGACTGTCCAGGCTGCCAGCTGTCTCTGTCTACCCTACAATACTCCCAAAAGTTACTTACATCCTTCTCCCATTTCTCAGGTAATATTATATTCTTCTGGGGCCTTTAATGTAGTTAAAGACTAAAGTTATAATTTCCTCAGTTATGATAAAAATAAGTTAGATATAAAACCTTAGACTCACAAATATAAGATACATAAGATATCTTCTTTAATTTTGCCAAATACAAATAAACTAGTTATTATAAATAAACTAGATATTGTAACTGTAATTCTTGCTTGATAATTGTTTTATCTGTAATTTTACTATGTAATAGTTAAAACCTTCCTTGTTTTTTTTTTAAAAAGAGGAAGTGCTATGGATATTGCTCTATATAAATAAAATACTGATTGACCAGTAGCCAAACAAAAAATATAGACAAAACAAAAAAACAGACAAAATTCTAAAAAATAAAAGACTGAGACAAAGAAACGCTGCCAGCCGCTGCCATAAAAAAAATGTTAAGATACCGGTAAGCCACAAGCCACATGTCAACTTATAAATTAATAAAAATAAATTGATTTAAGATATAAAAATAGTTAACAAAAAGCCTGCCACGGCCATACAGTTTGTAAACAATATAAGTCTCTATACGTTTACTTGGTTAAGTCTAAACAACTACGGGACTGACGAGTAAAAAAAAATTGTCCTAACAAAAAAACTCTAACTACAGGAAACAAACCTTGGATGGGGCCAAACCTAAGGGTGAAGGTGGCTTTGGTGTCCTAGGTGGAGGCAGAGGAGGTTTTGGAAGCTGAGGTAGGGGGCCAAGGAGAAATAGGCAAGTTTTCTGGCAGAAGCCATAAGATTTTGGAAGTTGAGGAGGATTCCCAGGTGGCAGAGGAGAAGGGAGAGACTTCGAGCCACAAGGGAAGAAGATGGAGTTTGAATAGTTTCTTTAATCCCAGTTGTATCCTCTTCATTTGAAAGAAAGGACTTGTGTTTTTCTCTACTACCTGTTCAGTGACGGAGCCTTCTGAGGGCATTCCAATACAAGATACAGTCGTGTGGTTTATTTGGAATCCACATAGATAACATTTCAAGAGAGACACCCTGTTGGTTTTTACCATGTATTCATATAACTTTTTAAAGCTAACCCTTACCTGTCCATTTTGAATTTATATTGTTTCATCCCATGTACAAAACCATTTTTCCTACAAATCATTTTTTTCTTTTTTCTTTTCTTTCAGCACTGAGGGCTGTAAGGAAATATTTTATCATTTTTTTTTTGATTCAGTGACTTTAGGGCAAATTAAAAATCCCAAACTCAAAACAACAACAACAACAACAACAACAAAAAAAGCAAAACAAAACCGAGGCTCTTACATTCTCATCAATCTCTTTGATACGCTGTGAAGATAGCAGATAACAAGTGAACCCAATCTCTGCTCTGAGTTAAGTTCCTTTGAGGATGTGAAGAGGAAAAGCATGCTGCTTTTTATCATTATGATGTCTACACAATCAGTTGTTTGGTCACTTGATTTAATATAAAGCGCCTCTGCCTGTGCAGCACATGTGCAACTGGTGCCTACAGAGGCCAGAAAGAGCATTGAATCCCCTGGAAATTGAGTCACAGACGGTTGCGAGCCATCATGTGAGTGTGGGGGTCAATCTCAAATCATCAGGCACAGCTTATCCTCTTAACCCTGAGCCATCTATCCAGCCAAAGAAACATTCTTAACAAGAGTCAAATATGTATTTGTTCTAGGTAAAACCAATTGAGTACCTACCACCTGCTTCCCATTACCTCCAACTTACAGATGAAATGAAGACACAACTTTAAAACAAGAGGACATAACAAACGCTAATATTGAGAGTGACTCTGCCTGACAGTCACAACGAGGGCAACAGCTGAAAAATGTAAAGAATACATTAAATTCCCTACATGTTTCCTATATGATGTTTCAGTTGAACAATCAGATAACTATAACTTCACAATTTTATTTCAATGTATAACAGCAGCAACTCTGAAAGAACTATTGTTACTTGTCAATGTTTCTTGGCTTTTTTTAATGTCTACATGCATAGAGATATGGTGGTATTTTATTTGTACTGAAATGTGATTTTAATTGTATGTTAATAAATAAAGTTGCCCAGGGGTCAGAGCTATTAGAGCCATAGCAAGAGCATGGCGGTGGTGGCACACGCCTTTAATCCCAGCACTTGGTAGACAGAGCTAGGTAGATCTCTGTGTGTTCAAGGATACAGCCAGCATTGGAGACACACGCCTTTAATCTCAATCTCAACCATAGAAGACCTGGAAGTCTCTACAGACAGGCAGTGATGAGGCAGTCATGTGTTTGGGTTTACAACCAATGAGAAGGCAGAACAGAAAGACTATATAAAGACAAACACACAGGAAGTAGCTCCCTTTTGGAGAGCTCTCTTGGCTGAAGAAGATCACGGAAGCATAGAGATCTCACATGTCTACATTTTTTGTTCTCAGGACATGTTTCATGTTCTCAGGACATGTTTCGTGTTCACAGGTCTGGTACAGATTGCTATTATCCATATAAGTTTTATGTGTAAAATTTACAGGCCAAAGATCTGTAAAGGTCTGGAGAGATGGCTCAGAGGGTGAGAACACTTGTTGCTCTTTCAGAGTCAAGTTTGATTTCCAGCACCAGGATGGTGGCTCACAACCATCCATAACCCCATTTCCAGGGGATTAAACAGTCATGCATGTAGTACACATAGATATAGGCCAGGACAACATTAATACACATAAAGTAAAATAAACTCTAAAAATAAAAATCTGTAGAGCATATTTGGGAAATGTCTTCTGTGGTTGAAGGTTCACCAGACTGTATGGGAATCATAGCATTCTATTGTTGGTTTATACATCAGTGCAATCTCCAGAGGAAAACATATTCATCATTGAGTCTTTGGAAGCTAGAAGTTGAGTCTTTGCAAGCTAGTTAATTTCACAATCAACTAATTATTGCTTGTTACTTTCTTTTGCTTATTTATGATTTATACTTAAAATATAAACCAAATGAAACTAAAGAGAGGTGCAGGCTCATAAAGCAACTAGACATGCATATGGTTGAAAAAATTCTTGCAAAATGAGAGTATGTCAAAGGCAATGTAAAGTATGTCTAGCTGCTATACAAGTGAACAAATATTTACATACACTCTATGTACTGAAATATAACTACAATTAAAAGAGAAAGCAACTTAATTTAATTTTTTCCGAAAAGTGCCATTCTTGAGAAGTAGTCTTTATTCCTTCTTCCCCTTGTCTGCTGTACCAGGAATGGTGTCCTCCCTTTCATTCTATGGTATGGAATGTCATATTCCCTGAGTGATCTAAGATAGAGGCACACACCCAGGTAATTTCACAGTAGCTTCATGACTGAAACACATCCAGACAGATTAAAAAACAGGCTGTAAACAGTTAGCTATGTGTAAATGTGCAGGCTTTGTCCTGTTCTCTCATAAGAAATCCACTTTTGTAGTAAATATGCCCTGTCTTCTGGAACACTGGCTTTTTTATCTCCCCAAGGTTTGTTCCTG